TAAATGTATTTACTATCTTAAGATTGTAGAATTAATATTGTCAACATCCCAGTATTAAATGTATTTACTATGTTAGGATTGTAGAATTAATATTGTCAACATCCCAGTATTAAATGTATTTACTATGTTAGGATTGTAGAATTAATATTGTCTACATCCCAGTAATAAATGTATTTACTATGTTAGGATTGTAGAAACTCTGAATGGAAAGAAGAAATATCTCTCAAATGTTCAAAATAAAAATCCCTCTTGCCTGGCATGTTTTTTGGAATTATAGGTGGTCCTTGGTCCTCTTTTGTTCTAATCATTGTTGCAACGAAAACATCAAAATCTTTATTATCAGGTTCCTAAAGAATATTTTATGGAATTTCAAATGAGGAGAAATTAGTATTATCAAATGCTCACTTTTTTATAACTTTTATAACTAGGCTCTCTAGGCGTGAACTTTGAAGTTTTGATCATCCATAAACCTTCCTCCTGTCATGTGAGGTCCCACAAAAATGTGGACAAGATTGGTTCAGCTGTTTTGACATTTATTTAATACAAACAAACACAAAAACAGACAGTATGAAAATAAAAGTTTGATAGGTGATCTTTTTTTAATAATTAGTGCACAAAATTAGTAGAAATAAGTTTGGTAACCATTTCTTGTAAAGATTACATTCCCACAACAAAACATTTCAATAATATAATTTTACCAGCCCTGACAATTTTTTGTTTATGATATATGATTGTAATAATAGTTGTTTACATATACAACTTACCTGAAATTCCTTCAAAGAAAAACAAATCGACCCAAAGTCGAAAATAAAGCATTGAGTATTATTGGTTTTCACTTTTCTTGAAATTAGGTGTATTTTAGAAAATTCAAACTTTTTCTCTGTAAAGGTATTAGAGCTATTATCCTTTATTGCATAGAGGTATCCAGTGTAGTCCAAAGCTTGAAGATAATTTGTCACAAGTTGATTTCTTGTACCCAAATCTGAGATTTCAATCCATCCAACAGAGGAGTTAAAAACTGTATTTATAGAAAAGATGAGATAATTTGTGAATTCTAAATTGTTTGTGCTGTTTTCTTCTGTGTTTCTTAATTCGAGAAGTTGTTGAAGAATTTGACCAAGCTTTAATATGTTTCCACCGACTGGGGGAGAGCCATCTATCGAATTTTTGAGACCATAATGTATTGCTTCCGATATGTTAAAAGCAGATGAGTCACTATTTAACATATCTTCTACATCATCTAGCCAGGGGTCAGAGCAGGTAGATCTATCAGGTTCAGAGGTGTTGAAATCTCCAAGGCTTGCATCACAAAACCAAAAGGCATGTTTTAGTTTGACAGAAGAGCCTGCATTCCGGCCTTCTGTAAAACAAGTTTTAAAGGCAAACTCCCCATGCATTCCATTCCATAGAAAACCTCTTGAGTCATTTCTTGAACATGTGCCTTCTGTTACTGTCGCATCACTTTCCAAATTATATACGACACCAAAGTTAGTTAAATGATCGCAAACACATGATGCATAATATACATCAGGCTCCTTCTAAGTTATTATACAAAAATTAGTTTAACCTTTATAAAAGTTTATTTTAAAGAAAATTTTTTTCTTAAAATAGGAACTAACCTTACATCCAACTGTAGACCAGACACTAGACGAAGTATTCCAGTATACACAGTCAGTAGCAGTAACAGTCTTATCATAATATAGATATATACTAAGCTTTCAGGGCACTTACTTTGCATCTCTCTTTAAGTTTAACTTTTAACGTCTAACTGTTGGTTTTTTTAAGTTGCCTTTTCTATTTAAATTTGTGGATTTTTTAAATTAACAAAAGTCATAATTTTTGCCATGCTAAATTTTTAAATTTGATTGTTCAAAAACCAGAACTGTTTTGACTATTATTTGAAACAAACAGACAGACCAGCCAAATATATTTTTAAACAGATTAAAAAAGCATAAAATATATTTGAAATATAATACTTACCATAGATATTGGCAAAGGATATTTAATTCTAACTTCATGCTTTCCTTGGTTGACGTTATCATAATTAATAGTTAGCCCTATCAAATGCTGCCCAAGTACGCTTTTCCCTGTGGAAGTAATATCCCCCCTCCCTTAGCTGGCCAGTCTATAAATACTCAGCTACTGCTTGAAGAGGGCAGTTACCCAAAAAGCCTTGAAAACGAGGGACCAACTCCCTTCTGCTCCTAGAAGGAGGGGGGCCGGAGGATAATGAGGGTATGTATGGAGCCAACCATCACTGGAGATGTGTGAAATCATCTTGACCCACAAGCCCTCATCCACAGTCCAGAGGCAAGAGTCCTGAGAGACCAGAGTCCAGAGAGGCGAGGGTCCAGTCCATAGTGTCTACAGAGACTAGAGACCAGACCAGAGTCGAAAGAGGAAAGAGTCCAGTGCTGACTGTAGACTAGACTATGCAATCTCTCTATAATTTTCATTAGTCCAATGCTCTCTCTATGTGGAGGCAGGAGAGTGTAGTAAATGCCACAATCCACTGGACCACAATCCTCTGAACTTTCAACATCACTATCACTGGGCGCCTTCTCAGTAGCTATCAAACAAGCTATTACTCAGGCTCTAAATGCCATACAGGGAAACAAGCATTGGCTATCTGTCAAGCCCTTTATTGATCTTTACCCTATCCTGAGGCAGGATCTCAACCTCAATATTTCAACAGGGGTACAATTACTCTAAACTGTAATCAAAGCAAAATTCTGATTCTAACTTATTTGTATTTAAGGTTTATAGGTTACAAGTTAAATTAATAAACATAATACAAATCCTACGTCCTAATCTGTACCACATGATTAAGGCCAATCATGTTACGGAGCCTGCCCCAGTCCAACGTGATCCTGTTGATGAGAGCTGCAATGGTGAGAGTGAGAGACCAAACATCAGGACGGCCATAGTACATGATACCAGGATGGCAAGATACTTGATGGTGAGGCTGATCAATATAAACTCCTTGATTATGCTGAAGTCCCTTATGATAAATCCTAATGGGTTGAGATTGTTTAACAATTCTAATCCCCTGGTTTGTGCATTACTGATCATGGGTTCCATGTTGAAGACATTTCCAAGCATATTAGATGAACAGATCTATTCTTCCATAACGCACAGTGAGAACAGGATTTTCTGGTGGGATGATTTCATGTAGGATGTACTGTTTTAGTCAGGCTATCTAGATCGTCACAGAAAATAGATCCATGGGTTTTTACAGGTGTGGCACAAACACAATTTATATCTCTGCTAAGGGAACCTTGGTAGCCACACACATATATTCAAAGACACAGTGACCCGTACATCTGACAAACAATCCCGATCTGTTCTCTATTGGATGCAAATAATCTTGACCATTTTTTACACTGAGCCACTGCTCACAACTACCAATATCTTGATCTCTTAACACTTCCTGAAGCATTTACTTTTTGTATTGGTCCATATAACTAAGTGCAGGGATGAGGTCTAGATTTTCTCTAACATCAACAGATTTCATTGGAGAAAGCATATGTGTGCGTTTCTAGGCTGATCATCACATCCTTCAAGGTGGTGGAGTACTTTTAAGGCTGGGGGATTCTCCAAACTCAAAACTTGCCAGTCAAACCCCGATTACAATATTAATATGTGTGACATCATTTTGAAACTGTTGCAATGCTTCTAGTTATATGTTTTCTCTGTGACTGATGATCTTGGTTTGGTTCTTGGTTGAAACTGACTGTTACTAGTCTGTTATCATTCTTGCTGGTAGGCTCTAATAGCACTCTTTCTGTCTCGTTCTGGTACCATCATCTCTTACCTTTTTTTCCTCATAATTAATCCCTGCTGGATCTCTTCTACACCGCTATTCTTATTAACATTGTGCTCATATAGAGCTGGAAGAGTATGGGGTTTGGAACCTGTTTCCACAACTGTAAGACTTGCTCTTAATCTTATCAGCTGGTTGTCTCTCTAAACTCACTGGTTGATTATCTGGAACCTTATATGCTTCCTTAATGTCCTTGCTGTGCTTGTCTAACTCTGCATTTGTTCTAAACATAGCTATGGGTTTTTAATACAAATAGTTCTGCACATCATTCCCTGTTTTTAATATTCTTTCTTAAATTTTCCTTTCTCTCTTTTGATAGCTTCCTTGGTACTTCCATCTCTCTTCTTTTCTCTTGTTTTCTGCGTATCTCATGATCTTGATTTCTTTCTTCAGAACTTGTTTCTGCTCTAGAAATTTGTTTTTATGTGTTTATATCCAACATGTTTAGCTTAGTGTAACATTTAAAGGATGTCATTAGCACTGACGTCAGATCCGAAAATTCAAACAGATTGACAGCTTCCTCTTTCGATTTTTGTTTTGGTTTAACATCTTGTTTTCATCTATCTTGAAGCTTTCATGAATAAATTTCTTCTTACTTTCTTTAATGTAATAATCTGATTCTCGTTCCTAATTCATCGTTTCTTGGTTTATATCTTCCGACTTCGTTTCCTCTCTAGGTGTTTGTTCCTCTGTGTTTACATTCAGAATATTTATCATTATGTAGTGTTGCTCTTGATGTTTCTCTTGATCCTGATGCTTCTTCTGATCTCGATTCTTCTTCTCTTGTTCTTGATGTTTCTTTAGATTTAATATCTTATTTTCATCCATCTTTAAGCTTTCATGAGTAAATTCCTTCTTTCTTGCTTCTGCAGTATAATCCGGTTCTCATTGAATCTTTTAATATTTTATCTAAATCTTTGTGTTTCTTTATAGGTTACAAGTTGAATTAATAGATTTAATTATAATTCCTACATCCTTATCTATACCACATGATTAATGCAAATCATGGTATTACAGAACAGTTAGAAATAGTTGCAATTTAAGATATACATCATATTTATTACATAATTTAGCTAACCATGCTACGTATTCATTTAGAATGCAGTTCAAATGAATAAATGGGTTTTTTTATGTACAAACATTGATCATTAATAATGTACAAGGTACTGCAAATTTACAGATTATCATTTTGCACAATATTTATTACAAGAGTAGGACCAGCCCAATTAGAGCTGAAAAGATTGGCAGCCGTTACAAAGAACAGAACAGAGGAAGGTTTAACTGCCACATGAGGCGAAAGAAAGGCAGAGAGTCTGCAGAAAAGCTCTGGCTTTTTTCTAATTTATTTATTATGTGGAAAGAACTGCCAAGGAAACATTTAAACCAACAATATGTGCCAGTGGCGAATAATTCTGGACATTATTTGTTCGCCATCGGTTTGTTGTAGATAAAATATTTGCATGGCTGGAAACTATTGTGTTGGATACTCTAAATTTTATTCACTTAATCTCTTTATCCTCTATCCACTATGGACACTTTTGATTTTCTACTAAATACTCTTTGGATATCCCTGCTGGATTCTGATCAATTTTCCTACTTCTGATTGGCTGTGTGGTTTCTGAAAATGACACTCTGATTGGTTGAATTTTAGACACTCTCCTGGATATAAAATAAAAATTTAAATAATCTGCAGATTAACAAAAAGATTTTCCATCTCATTTTAGATAAGAAGATTAAGTCCCGGCCACATTCCTGGTAAAAAACTTGGAAATATTGATGAGTCATCTTCTTCTTCTTTCAATGTTTTAACAGCAGTTGCAACAAATATATTTTCTTCATTTTCCTAATTAAAATTTTGACATTATTAAGCAATTGCGTGAGGTTACTACATTGCACCATGCATGTTATGAACCAATCAAAGATATTACATTTTCTGTAATTAATTTTTGGATATTGGTGCAAAACAATTACGGGTTTAAATATGTTTTTAGTTTGTCTGCAGAATGGTCATGGTAAAAAATAACATTGTAGATTTACTCTGATTAAGTAATTTAGGATTACATAAAAAAGGGTATGGTACCTGAAAATTGTCAACACATATGGAACCATGATCAAAATCAAAGCAACTCTGCAAACCATGAACAAGTAAATTGGTCTTTTCCACAAATATTTGTATTCTGGATAAATCCAATGTCCAGGTAGAAACCGATGAAGTTTCTTTTTCTGCCTTGATAAATCCTGTAAAGTCCAAGGCTTGAAGGTAGTTAGTCATTGCTTTGCTTTTTGTTTCCAAGTCTGTAATTTCTTTCCATCCAGTTGAGGACTCAAACACTTTGTTTATTGAGATAATAATATTGTTTGAGAAATATGGGTCTTCTATATTTTCACTTCTACTTGAATTTAGAATAGTTAGAAGAATGTCTCCAAGTTTTGAAATAGTACCTCCTAGGGCTGAATTACCAAAAGTATAAAGTTCTTGATATATTGCTTCCGCTTTGGCTTCAGCACTGTCCATTGTTTCTATATCATCTATCCAGAGATCAGTACAATAAGATCTGTCTGGTTCTGTGGTGTTAAACTCTTTAAGCAATTCATCACAGAACCAAAAAGCTTGCTGAACAGGAATTGCACGACAATTCTGCGTGGCCATCTTTCCATACTGTTCAGTCCATAGAACATTTCGTGAGTCTGTTCTATTACATGTGCCTTCTACCATGTCTTTCGCTGATGCTACTACTATTGCTGTTGTTGCTGCTGGCATTGGCGTTGCTATATCTGATAGATCTCTTGATGAATTTGTTGAAACCTCTGCAGTAATTTCTGTAAACAAGTGCAATTAGAACATTGGTAAAATATATTTCTTGGTAGAGTTGATATACATGAAATAGATATATTTCTTTGCAGAGTTGATATACATGAAATAGATATATTCTTTGCAGAGTTGATATAGATGAAATAGATATATTTCTTTGCAGAGTTGATATACATGAAATAGATATATTTCTTTGTAGAGTTGATATAGATGAAATAGATATATTTCTTGGTAGAGTTGAAATAAATGAAATAGATATATTTCTTGTCAGAGTTGATATAGATGAAATAGATATATTTCTTTGCAGAGTTGATATAGATGAAATAGATATATTTCTTGGTAGAGTTGAAATAGATGAAATAGATATATTTCTTTGCAGAGCTGATATAGATGAAATAGATATATTTCTTTGCAGAGTTGATAAAGATGAAATAGATATATTTCTTGGTAGAGTTGATATAGATGAAATAGATATATTTCTTTGCAGAGTTGATATAGATGAAATAGATATATTTCTTGGTAGATCTCAGATAGATTAAAAATATTTGTATCAATTAAAATAGAATTAATTAATTAGTAATAAATTAATAAAGTAATTTTATAATATCCTTTAGTCTTTAGTTTTAATAAAATTGAAGAATATCTTTAATTTATTTCCAACATTGTTTTGACCATGCTTAATGGTTTATTTAATGTTCGATCTGAGGGGTAAACTGTGTTTGATAATAAAATAAAATGTCTTTTCCCTGCAAAACCAAAAAAAAGCTTATTATGTCACTATCTGTTCAATTGCAATCTTTCATTTTTAAAGGGACCATTAACGTAATCTCAAGTAACCCCCAATTTAAAGGGAGTGTTTGCGAGAAAGAAAGGGGTAAAGGCTTACGGCGAAAAATAAGCACTTTTAATCGCTACTGATCTTACTTCTATCTGTTGCGTCTTTAAGGAGAAAATTGCTAACAGCTACTCATATTGAAGAACGCAGCGTACATACAAATTCAGAAAGTTGCAACATTCAACTCGGATCGTAAAATGATCAATCTGATTCCAAACAAATCATTCAGATATTACAAATAAAAACAATAGTCATTGTTTATTTTTCGACACATTCGTATTTTGTTAATTTTTCATAATATTTTGATTTTTTTCAAAATAATATTTCCCTTGCGCTGAATTTCCGAACATTCTTGGAAAATTTGAAAATGTCGTCTTCATTATCAAAAATCCTCGAAACAGAAATAAATGGCTTCAAAGGTAACCATCAGATCATAAAAAATAAAATATATTATGAAAAATCAACTTAATACGAGCATGTCGAAAAATTATCGATGATTATTGTGTGTAATATCTGAAGGATTTGTTTGAAATTAAATTGATTTGTTTACGATCCGAGTTGAATGTTGCATCTTTCTAAATCTGTATTGATGCTACGTTCTTCAGTATCGAGTAGTTTTTAACAATTAGATAGAAGTAACCCCCAATTTAAAGCAATACTTGTCCAATTCAAAAAGACTGTCTTTAGCCCTAAATTAAGTAATCAAGTAGAAAGATTTTCCCTTTTTACAAAAATCCGCAAGTGAATTTTACAGAATTTACTGCATTTGACGATTATTTATTTTGGCATGGAAAAACAGTAACTCTAAAGGGTACCGTTGTAAATCGGAATGGCTATTTAAAATAATGCCTTTTACTGTCTCTTTTAAAGTGCACTTGAAAAAATTTTAAATGTCTAATGTTTTTAAATTGTTACCTTGCAAAGAGCAGAGGAGGAGAAAAACTGTGTTCAACATTTTTTCTTGAAAACTTTCAGAAAGAAAGTTTAAAATATAAACATCTGGAAATACGATTTAAAAATTTTCTAAGTAACAGTTGGAGTACCGCCAGCTTTTCATTGAGACCCCATGTTTCCGTTGCAGACCCCCAGATCTACATTGGAGACACCCAAATAAGTTCATTTGAGACCCCAGATTTTCCTTGGGGTTTCCAACGAAAATCTGGGGTCTCCAATAAAATATAAGGGTCTCCAATTCAAATCTTGGAGGTCTCCACTGAAAATCTTGGTGATTTCTAATGAAAATCTGGGGGTCTTCAATAAATGTCTGGAAGTCTGCCACGAAAATATGGGATATCGATTTAAAGCTCGGCTGGTGGTCACCAATGATAATCTGGGGGTCTCCATCCAAAATCTGGGGTCCTCAATTTAAATCTGGAAGTCTCTAACGAAAATCCTGGGTGTCCAATGAAAATATTGGAGTCTCCAATGAAAATATTGGAGTCTCCAATGAAAATATTGGAGTCTCCAATGAAAATTTGGGGGTTCTCAAAGAAAATCTCGAGTTTCCAATAAATTTATTTGGGTCTCCAATGAAAATCTGGGGGTCGGCAACGAAAATCTTGGGTCTAAATGAAAAGCTGGAGTCTCCAATGATAATCTGAGGGTCTCCAGTGAAAAGCTTGGACTCTCCAAAAAATTGTACAGAAGAAGCAAAATTTCTAAAAAAAATAATCCAAACTGAAAAAAACAGAGATCATATTTGAAGGTCGTTTGATTTGCATAAGATGCGTCTTCAAACTTTTCCGTTTTTCGATATTTAAAAAATTGTATTATTTTAGGTTAAAAAATTTTTTTTTTGATACTCGGACAAACATCCGATTTTTACGAATTTAACGTTTCTGAACTTAGTGTTTCAAGTTGAATATTATTATATATTATTATACCTGTCAAAATATATTTTGACGAAATTCTTTCTGGCTTACATTGTGATTTGATTTACCCAAAAAAAGGCAAAATCTGAATGAGTTTAAAATATTTTAAATGTCTAATCTTTTTTTAAAATAAATATTTAAACGGTGCAAGGTGGATTTAAGCATTTTAATCAGAAAATGGCAAAATAAGTTATAAGCTGTTTATTCACATACAGGATTATTTTAACTGCTTTCTAATTTATGATACTTAAGATAAATTAAGATAAGAATGATATTTATTACAAAAGAAACAAATGTTTTTACAGCTTAAAACTTTATTTACAAACATTTTTATGGCAGGACTTAACTTAGTTTTTTATTAATCAGACAAAAGAAGCGCTCACAATGACCCCTTACCCTATCAAGTCAAGGCTGGGGGGCCGGAGACTCCACCCCTGTGGTTTTTCTAAATAACTTTAAAACGGCTAGCATTTGAACACTGAAACTTCTTCACTTTTTCAACATCATAGTTGAGAAAAATACGTTTGGCAAAATGTTTTTTTTATTGCATAGGGTAGGATGGAGGACAGTAAAACATTTATAAATTTGAAAAACCCCTGAAAAATGCAATATGTGTCATATGTTAGTATTTTTCAAAATTAAAAATAATTATTTTTTAACATTTTTCCGACATACTTCTTAAACTTATCTAAAACCCTCACTCCCCATAACCATTAAAGTTAGAGGTCTTGTTTTTTTAAATGAGAAGGCCTTGAAAAGTTAGACTAAGGACATGTATTACACTCCCCTATCTCAACTAGTAAGGGCAAAATCATAGGGAGGGGGGAGGGAGCACCCCCTCCCTCCAGCCTATATTAGACAAACATTGCCCAGCAGGATCTGAAGGAATTGAAGTTGGATTTTTTATCTTGAAAATATTTCGTTAATAGTATATTCAATGATTTGGCAAAGAAAAATAAGTTTAAAGCTTTTGTTTCTTAAGTCTCATGCTGTAAATTAATATGCAAATTGTTGGTATGTGTAAATACTGTTCATCTAGTATAGTGTGTTCAACTGAACATTTAAAAATCATGTTTGATGTAAATCGTGGGTAAATAATCTCTGAGAGTTAAATTTTAATTAAATATTTCTGCTACAGCTGCTTTGTGTTAGGGATGTTAAAATCAGCAAATTTAGTTGTCAACTTTGATTTCAATTAAACAATTCTTAAACCAAAAGTTTTAACAAAAATTAAAAAATTTGAAGGTCGAAAATTTCGAACAAATTTCGCAAAAAAATTTTAACGGAAATTTTCGCGAAAATGAACGAAAATTTTCTTCTCAACCATGTGTAACAAAGAGGACCAGGGAGTATTTGACCTTCGCACAATTCCTGCTTCCTCCATGGCAGCAAACTCAGCCATAGCCGTAGCTAACTTCTCTGGATTGAGGCAACAAGGTTTAGCAATGACTGGAGGACAAGGCTGTGTAAGAAGATAATGACTAACTCTGTGACGAGGATTAGAAGCTGGGAATCCATCCGATGACACAACGTCTGGAAACTCCTAGAGAAAGTCAGAGATACACTTTGGGTGGGCCAGAAGGTTTTCGCTGGGGCTGGCTGAAGAAAGACTCAGAGAAATTGGAAGGTTGATGGACGGAGCAGTCATGGAGAATCAGAACTGAAAACCCTCTGGTTAGCCACGTCAAGGAGGTTATTGTGCTTGCTCAGGAAATCTGCTCCCAGTATAGGTACTGCTACTGGAGCTAGTTGGAAAGGCCAATCAAACAAGTGTTTACCGAACCATAGAGGGATAATCTGTGATCTAGAACATGAGAGCAACGAACTATCTGCTGTAACCAGGCTAACACCGGACTTTGAGGTAGAAAGTGGAGCTGGAAAAATTGAGATCAAAGCTCCAGAATCGACTAGAAATCTCATGGAACTGAGGGAGTCCTAGAGATATATGAGTGGAGAAGGAACAGGGGAACCAACAGGGAGGGAACGCACATCCTCCTGCCGGTCAACTAGTTTCTCAACCAGGAACAGGGAGATGCATTTCTTTGCCTGAGAACCCAAAGAACGATGATAGTAACAGAGGGTTGGTGATTGAGAAAGGCTGTCATGCTGGTTACTGGCATGTGGAGTTGCTGAATGGCAGGGTTGGCTAGAATAGGACAAGGGTTTGATTGGGTTGGTTTGAAACTGCTCATCAGAGGTGTTGGAGACATCAAAAGACATCAAAAGCCAAAGACGAGGACACTCTACTCTGGTAGATCTCGTCGGCCTTGATAGCTAGGAAGATGGGGTTGCTGAAGTCTTCCCTAAGAAGGTGAGCTCCAGTGTCGGCTGGTACACGTTTGAGAAAGCCTCCACGGAGAAAGAAACAGGGTTTGTGATCATCTGGAAGGAGAGCTAACATGCTTTACATGAGCTTGGAAGGTTTCATGTCTCCTGAGAGAGGCAGACTGGAAAAAGCTCCATACCTTAGGTAATAATCAAGTGCAAAAAGTTTGAGCAACCGCCTCTCCAGCTCCTTGTATGGCTAATGAGCTGGAGGGGATTTAATAAGATCAAGAACTTGATTTGCAGTTTCTGGAGTAAAGGAAGAAATGCAGTAATAAAACTTCGTGGAACTAACAGTTAACCCCTTCAAAGCAAACTGAGCTTCTGTTTGCGCGAATCAGGCTTTTGCTGAATCTGACCAAAAGGCATTAACTTTGACAGGAACCGTGTTAATGAGGTCCAAGGCACAGATCACAGCCTGAATCGGGACACTATCACTGCCCTTAGGCATTATCACTAGAGCATGTAGCTAGAAAAATCTCTGTAGAGGAAAATCTGTCGCAGACTATAAGAAAAAACGAATGTCAGGGTCACTAATTTAGCTACACTCAATAAGGACAAAGTTTAATGACTAAAGTTTATTAATCAACTTAAAAAAAACAATATATTGTATTTTGTGCAACGCGGAAAATATCTGGTGAGCTGGAATCTTCTCATCTCACCGCCACATCGAGTTCTGTTGAAAACCTAGGGATCGTCTTCTGCCACAATAATATGAATTGGTATTTCAGAATTTATTTAATCAATTGTTAGATATTAGAATTGTCTGGTGAAATAGAGCTGAATTTTTTTATATAGTTAAGCATCTCTATATAGTTTGATATAGTTACGCATTTCTAAGCATCTCTATATAGTTTGATATAGTTACGCATTTCTAAGCATCTCTATATAGTTTGATATAGTTACGCATTTCTAAGCATCTATATATAGTTTGATATAGTTACGCATCTCTAAGCATCTCTATCTAGTTTAATATAGTTACGAATCTCTAAGCATCTCTATATAGTTTAATATAGCTACGCATCTCTAAGCATATCTATATAGTTTAATATAGTTACGCATCTCTAAGCATCTCTATATAGTTTAATATAGTTACGCAATGTCTTGAAAGGGACTGTAGACGTAATTTCGAGTGGCTCTTCATTTATTATAACAGCACCTTTATAAGCTTTGTTGGTCTATCATCTTGCATTTGAAAATTGATTTTTTTATGTGGTTTCTAATTCTCTGTAAAGCGATATACATCTTTCTGCTTCAGAACCAATAGATGAATTGTCAGAATTAATCACTATTCAATCAAAAAAAAAACACAATAATATCTTTCACATTTTATTGATCAGATAAAGATTGAATGCATGGTACCTCCGTGGATCGGACCCTCTTTTGGAATTTTTTGAAATTCCAGCGACATTCTCTTTAAGACATGAGCTAAGATGTTACAAAGTCACAGCAGTAATGAATTTGACCTTCTTAGTTTAGTGTGTGGTACTTAACACTTAAATGTAAATCATACAATTATAACTTAATGATTTTATTATTATATTATAAAGATTTATTCGCACACAAACATATAAATACACATATAAATGGTGCAGTTTAAATTTATTTATCATTTCAGTTATTACGTAATCATCGAATCCTTCAACATATAAATTATTCATTCTTGTATTTAAAAGTTCTTTTAAAGCCGGAACTTTCCATTCATGTTCCAATGGGACATCAAAATATTTCATTTGTTTCTTAACTAACATTTTACTAAGATCCGAAGGATTTACAGAACAATCATTTGTAATACAAAATAAATTTCTGCCAAGAACTGTGTTAAGGTCATTTTTACATAAATTAGAAAGAAATCTAATGCAAAGGTTAGAACTTAATAGTTTTAAGCATCACACATTAAACTTCTGCTCAAGTATTAGATAATTAGATTTATCTGATTAAATATTATGAATTCAACTTATTTTTATTTTTATTAACATTCTTCAAATAAGAAGAGTTATAATTGAAAACATAAGATTTCAATTTTTTTTACATACTTGAGCATTATGTGACCAAAGAAGACATACTTAATCATAAATTCTAAGAATTCTGCAATTATATATAGTTTCAAATTTTCTTTTAAAAGACTTTCTGCAATCTTTATATTCAAATCATGCATATATTTGTTTGAATTACTTCAATCTTTATATTTTCAGACTTTCTGCAATCTCATGCATTCAAAGACTTTCTGTAATCTAAAATCTATATACTCAAATGATGCACATATTTTTTAATGTCAAGATTTTCTGCAATTTGCATATTCTGTGAACTTTCTGCAACTTATATATTTTGACTTTTGAGACTAAGACATTCAAATGATATATATGAAATTTGTATATTAAAATGATTCCTACTTTTCTTTAATTCAAACACAGTGTAAAGTGTTGAACTTTGTAAAAGTTTTTCTTATCTTTTAAACAGGATGTGCACAAAGCGGCTCCTTTGTTAATGTTTATTATTTATTGGTATTCATCCCAACCTTCCTTTTGGAAATCACATTTTCCCCCACAAGTTAAATGTTTGCACAGAGCACCAACAAACTTTAGGTTTTTTTTCGCAGAATAAGGTGAACATAACTGATTTTTAGGGGAGCATAACTGAATTTTAGGTGAACATAACTGAATTTTAGGGGAACATAACTAAATTTTAGGGGAACATAACTGATTTTTAGGTGAACATAACTGAATTTTAGGTGAACATAACTGAATTTTAGGGGAACATTACTAAATTTTAGGGGAACATTGGGGGGTCCAAAAATCGTTCTCTAGGAATATACCAAATAAACTTTATAATAATCCTGACATTAGAAATAAGAATTCAAAAACATTAAGAAAAACATTAGTATAATACAAATTAAGCCATGAAGTTTAACTATTTTAGTTATATATTTTTTCCAAACTTGTATTTAGTATTAATGCTTCAGATTATTATATTCTTCTTTATATCAATTTATTAATAATCTGAGGTTTATACTTTATTCTGGGATTCACTTAATTTAGGGCTGTTGAACATTTTATACTTTAACGGTCACATAAAAATGTTAATTTCAAATTTAAAAATAATTTGTTTAAACTATTTCTAAAAATATTGTTCTTTGAACCAAGTTCCATTTTTTTTTAACTTTAAGGATTAAGAATAATTGGAAAAAATCAAATATAATTTTTATCCTAATATATAATTTAAGAAAGTAGATTTTTTTATCCTTATATATCTGTATACATACTTTGCTGTTTGTCGGTCTATTTGTGTCCAATAAACGTCAAAACGGTTAAACTGATAGTGCCCAATTTTCTTTGAAAATGCGCCTGTTTAAATGGAAAACCCCGCCAACATTTGATAATATTAAAAATGGTCATCTTAAGAACTAGAATTGTTAATAGGAAAGGGAACGCGAAGCGCCCCAAAAGTCTAGTATGATATAAGGATAAATTTGTTTGCTTCTACATCCAATAAAAGTTAAAACGGCTGAACCAATCGGGCCCAAATTTTTCGTGGGACCTTGCGTCAGCGTGACCCCAGGGAGGGTTTCTGTATGTTCGAATTTTCAAAAATTTGCCTGTAACAAAATTAATTTTTTTTTTAATTTAAAAAATCCACGAATTTTATAATAAATCCGCAAACTTTTTGTTTTCATTTTACAATTTATTCAAAAAGAAATGTTTACAAATGAAATAGAAAATGGGCGCAAAGCGCTCTTAAAGCCTAGTAAGAGAATCAGAGTAATCTTTCAAAATACTAGGCTTTTATGGCGTTTCGCCGTCGCGCCTTCTTCTATTTCAAAATGTGGCTCTATCTAGCTGTAAGCATCTTCTCTTTCTTCAATATAAAAAATAACAAAAAAGTTCGCGGATTTAATAATATTTTTGTAATTCTGAGCATTCATTAACCTTTTACTATAGGTCACACGTGAGTTGCATCAACAAGTTTGAGCTTAATTGGTTCAGTCGTTTTTACGTTTACAAACAAACTGACAGATATGCAAAGTATCTGTATAGATAAAAATATAATTTCATCATTACAAATAAATCTCTATGACTATTAACTAGGACTTTTGCTATTTTGTTTCTTTAAAATATTTGCACTAGACAATGAAAAAAATAGGTTTAGATACAATTTATTAACTGATCCTATTAACCCTATCCCGGCTGGGTTATTTTTGTCTAATAAAGACTGGGGGGTGTCGCCCCCCCCCCAATTATTTTGCCCTTAAAGTTGAGATAGGGGAGTGTGAAACATGTTTTTAGTCTAAATTTTAAAGGCTTCCCCTGCCATGATAGGGTTAATAAATATGTTTGTACATTGTGTTACATTATACAGTGATAACCAGAAAACTCTGAAATAGGAAGACAACACTTAGAATAAAGATATAAAAATTCCAATGATCATGAGACACAACAATTGTGCACTTGAAGTGTAAACACTAAACAGCCCCAGTTTGTCTAGTAAAACTATAATTTGCTTTGTAACAACATCAATACACTTTAATGTACTGCTATAATGTTGTTTTCCTTGTCCATTGTTTTCTGGTTATGACTGTACAATGGCACACAGGGAATGAATGTACTAGTAGATTAAATTTCTAAATATAACTCCAAATACCAATTTAGTCATTCTTATCGTTTTGATAATTTAAAAGAGTGTTTAAAACGAAATTTAATTAGAAAAAAAAATTCGTAATTTTAAAATGCAAAACTATACAATATATTGAATTTTATAAATTAATAACTAAATTGCAACCAATTCTAATAGTAAAGACGACATGTGCTATCCATTGTCAAATTTATTAAATCAAATCCTAGTTTTTATCATCATCATCATCATCATCACTTGCTTCAAACTTTGAGATTTTATTTTCCATTCCAAATCTTGAATTTTCAGCTCCCTCAGTTTTCTCTCTTTTATTCCCATAGAGAGAGAAAGTGTCATCTTTGCCAAATGGATCTGTTGTGTCATAGTCAAACCCAGAAACATTGTCATCGTCAACGTCATCGTTATCAACATCATCGCCATCATTGTCATCATTGTCAAACTTTTCTACAACTCCAAAATTGGAAACTTCATCATCATTTCCAAATTTTGATATTGCATCGCTATTCTCAAAATTTGAAATTGCGTCGTCATTTCCAAATTTCGATATTGCTTCATTCTTGCCAAAATTTGATACTGCATCATAATTGCCAAACTTTGAAACCCCGTCCTCATTTTCACAGTTTCCTACTTTTAAAACGGAATCATCATCGCCAAAGGTTGATATTGCATCATCGTTTCCAAATTTTGAAATTGAATCCTCATTGCCAAATTTAGAAATTGAATCCTGCTTGACAAATTTTGAGATTCCATTGCCATTTGTAAACTTTGACATAGTGATACCATCTCCAAACTGTGAAATTGTATCATCATTGCCAAACTGAGAAATTGTGTCATCATTACCAAATTGAGAAATGGTTTCATCATTGCCATACTGAGGAATGGTTACATTATTGCCAAATTTGGGTTTTGTACCGTTATTACCAAAATTGGACGCCGTATTGCCAAAAGCAGAAATATCATCATCATTGTTTAAGCCAGTGTCATCGTCTGACGGAAGATCATTCCCATATTTCGGAATGAGCGTCTCTTTATTACCAAGCTTGAATCCATTGTTTGGCAATGGCATTGAGTCTCCATTATCAGAAAATCCTCTAACACTATTCTGTATAGGCCCTGGTGGTGGTTGTCCTATACTTTGGTTCCTGTTTATACTACTAGGTTTCCTCTGTAGAGCACTCTGTTTTCCCGCCCTTACAGCCCCACTTGTCACTCTGGAATTCTGGGAAGGACTCTCCTAGAAATAGATACAGTTGTGAGACTTAATCATCTATAATACACGCCTGCAATGATCTTTATGGGCCTCTGGCAAAACTTAAATAGAATCAATTATCAATCTCATGTTGCCAATAACACAAATTGATTTGTGTTTTACACAAACAATCAGCGAAACAAATGAAATGAAAAATAATCTTTGTTTTATAAATATGTTTTTCCCGAACAATTTTCAACTATGGCACGGTTGTAGACAGACTGAAAAAAAGCTTTGGGTTAAAAACTTCTGAATCTCTTTTTTACTATTTTTTAAACTTTTAACCTGAATTCCCATTTGTCCTGCTGTAAATGTAGCTGAAGTTGATTCTCCGGCTCCAGCTCCCATCACCTACATGTTCATTCATCACAGAAACTTGAAGATTCATTAATCACTGATATTCTGACATATTAATTCATCATCAATACACGAAAAGATTTCTTTTCGCTTACAGATTCATACATCATCCATACACTTACAGATTTATTCATCATCCATACACTTACAGATTCATACATAATCCATACACTTACAGATTCATTCATCATCAATACACTTACAGATTCATTCATCATCCATACACTTACAGATTCATACATCATCCATACACTTACAGATTCATTCATCACTATACACTTACACCTACATACATCATCCATACACTTACAGATTCATTCATCATCTATACACTTACAGATTTATTCATCATCCATACACTTACAGATTCATTCATCATCCATACACTTACAGATTCATTCATCATCTGTACACTTACAGATTCATTCATCATCCATACACTTACAGATTCATTCATCATCCATACACTTACAGATTCATTCATCATCCATACACTTACAGATTCATTCATCATCCATACACTTACAGATTCATTTCTCATTGTTACACATTCGTTTATTACCGAAACTTAGATTACAGATTCAATTTATCATTGATACATACATATTTATTGGAGAATTAAAATGAAAAGTAAATTTACCTTAATATGATAAATACCGACAAAATGATGATAACCAGAGTCAATGCGTATTCGAATATGTTTTGCCTGAACAGAAACAGCTCTAAAAGGTGTTTTCTACATAAATAATGTAATCTCTTCTGGATTTTCAAAAACGCATAATTGCAAATTTGAAGGCGGTCGCCATTTAATTCTTAAACACATTACACAAAGTAACCTACAAAGTTTTTAGATTCCATAGTCCCTTCCCTTGGTTCTCCTTTGCTAATAAATACAATAAATACTTCATTAAAAGACTATATTCTAAGCAGTAGGTCAAATTAAAGCTAACAGGGACTATACAGCGTAATTTCAAGTGAGCCCATGCATGAAAATATGGCAATGCCCGATTCACAACGGTACCCTTAAAAACTATGTCTAATCAAGTATGAATCATATATTTGTGTTTATTAATTTAAAAAAATTAAATTTTTAATTGTGGTTTTTTTTATAACAGTGACTTCCGCATTTCTATTTCAAGAAAGCATATAGACATTATCAGAATTAAATACTTTTAAACTTAGAAAAACGAAAATATCTTCTTTATTATTGATCAGATATAGGTTTCAAGGCTACAGTTGTAATTATATCTTTAAGATTCTTAATCGTTAATTGGTCTTCAATTCAATTCAATTCAATTCAATTCAATTCGACAATCTTGAAACTTACAGAGTTTTTTTTTCATAAATTTACATCTTAAAGGTTCACAAAATATGCATGGATGGTCACTTGAAATCCCGCTGCAGTCCCTTTAAGGTCGTCATATTTAAAGAATTTAAGGTCGGCATTGTAGTCTCATATTTTGTGGGTAACCCTGTGTATGTAATTCTAAATTTTAAAGTCTAAATGGTTTGTTCGCAGGGCTTACGAATGATTAGAAATGTTTCAATTTATGAATAATTTTATTAAAACAAACTTTAGAGAGGGATTTGTTTAGAAAATTTCTAGTTTAAAATAATTGTTTAAAATTCAAATCAGTTTACCTTTAAAGATGCTTTTTCGTCTATATACAAGGTTTCGTTTTGCTTCCGCCCTTCTCCACTTGTTAGTTCTGAATAATACTGGGAGGTAAACAAGGAACTGAAAACTCAGAGCCCAAAACTTAAGACAGGGTATCGTTCTGAAAACCAGTTTTGTAACCCGGGTTTCACAAATGGGTTTAGGCAGTTTTGTGGATATCGATATTTTTGTTTTGAAATATTGTTTTATTTAGTTTCATCATATTTTACCATTTTTTCGAATCTCTTAAATAAAAATCTACACAAATAATAAGACCCCAAAAAGAAAACCCGGGAGTTTCGTTCAACGATACTCTTTTAAATTTCGGGCTCAGGGGTTCATTTCAAGTACAAAACCGACTTTAAGGCAGCTGAGCCCAAAACTTAAGACAGGGTATCGTTATGAAAACCAGTTTTGAAACCCGGGTTTCAAAAATAGGGTCAGGCAATTTTGTGTATATCAATATTTTTGTGAAGGATATCATTTTATTTAGTTTCTTCATATTCTCCATTTTTGTTTGGAATCTCTCAAATCAAAATGTACACAAAGGAAACTTGGGAGTTTTTTTCAACGATACTCTTTTAAATTTTGGGCCTTGGAGTGATATTTCTTTTATTTACTGAACACAGCTCAATTCATTCTCATCTCAACTTGTTTAAACCTTGAAACTTTTTACAGAGATAATCAGAAAACTTTAAAATAGGAAGACGACTTTAAGACTCAAGTATGACTTTAAATAGTCCAATGAACATAGAACACGCCAATTATGCAGTGTAAACAGACATATTTCAATTAATTAGTGATTTAATAAGTGTCTTGTAAAACTATACAACAATATCAAATACACTTAACTAATGCTATAATGTTGTCTTCCTGTTTCACAGTTTTATATTTATCACTCTGTAGTCTGTACTATAATAGAGAGAGGCGAGAAGGACTGATTAAAAGGAATTGTAAACATTATTTTAAGTGACTCTTGATTTATAGAATGGCATGCTATTTTTATAGAATGACATGCCAGATTTATAGAATGGCATGCCAGATTTATAAAGAATGACATGCCAGATTTATAGAATGACATGCCAGATTTATAGAATGGCATGCCAGATTTATAAAATGACATGCCAGATTTATAAAATGGCATGCCAGATTTATAGAATGGCATGTCAGATTTATAGAATGGCATGCAAGATTTATAGAATGGCATGCCAAATTTATAAAATGGCATGCAAGATTTATAGAATGTCATGCCAGAATGGCATGCCAGATTTATAGAATGGCATGCAAGATTTATAGAATGGCATGCCAGATTTATAGAATGGCATGCCAGATTTATAGAATGGCATGCCAGATTTATAGAATGGCATGCCAGATTTATAGAATGGCATGCCAGATTTATAGAATGGCATGCCAGATTTACGACGGTACCCTTCAAATCTTTCTCTGACCAAGAAAGCATAAGATATCAAAAATCTTCTTTTTGAAAGTTGATTATTTTCTCTAAAGTGAATTTCACATTACTGCTCAAGGAACAAGATAAAGCAAACTGTCAAAATTAAACACTTTAAAGCTATTGAAAATATTTGAACGGCTACAACGGTACTGTTGTGAATTAGACATTCCATCTTTTAAATTCAGATAATTTTAGATTACAAAATATGTCATATTCATTGACGTTCAGTTTTCCAGTTATGTAAAGTTTGAGTAGGTAAGAATGTGGAAAAACAAATATCATTATTTTTTTAACCAATATTTAAAGTTTTGGATCAACTCGTTTATTTCGTTTTTTCAAAATTAATTTGCAGGTTGCACGTACCAGAGGCTCAACTAGGAGGGGGGCGGCCGGGCGCGCGCCCTCCCCTAGCACCTGAGAGGGGGGGGGCGCCACCCCCCCCTCTGCAGAATGAAAAGAAAGAAAGAATGGCGAAAATCAGTATCACAGGAATAAGAAAACCAATAGAGTTATTGTAGAAATTTTATCATACTATAGTTAGTATTTTTATCTTTTTCAATTCTCAAGGCAAACGGCTATTGTAAACAATTAATGTAAAAAAAAGTTCTGAACTGTATTTTATTTGTGTTGAGTTTATAGAGTACTCGTAGATATCAAACTTTGAATTCTTATGGTAAAATATTCCTAGTTTGAAATATCAAATGTTTACACCACTCGGTGCAAAGATTTAGGGATTAGAATATTTGAGTTTGTGGCAAAAACTCAGTTCCAAATCTAGAGAAAATTCTGAACCTGGCAAATTTCTAACTGATTATCATATTTGATAACTAACACGATTTATCTTCTTTGACAGAAGTTCTGTAAAATCGAAAATGAATTTAGGTTATGAATGTTGGTTAGATCAATCATTAATTCAATAATTTCAAGAGAAAAGGTAACATTATCTGTCCTTTTTCAATGTAGATGATTGAATTTATTATTTACCTTTGTATTTTTATGTTTTTTTTCCAGAAACTATATATGATTATTTCTTGCAATTTAATCTGTAATTAAACCAGGTACTTAAAAAATACTCTTTTGCGATTCGCACACATATTCAATGAATTGACTCATATCATTCATTTTACAGCTGTTGGAAGTATAAATTTTGTAAAAACACAAGAACAAAAATCGATTTGAATTGAACACAGCCAAATCTGCATGCAACAACTTAAAATTTCCTATTTTTCGACTTCAAACCCTTAAAAAAGCACTTTTGTTTTTGAAAAATTTTCGAAAAAGGGGTGGGACACCCCCCCTTAACCCCAACAAAATAATATATTGCCCCCCCCCCCTAGCAAAAGTCCTAGTTGCGCCTCTGGCACGTACACTGTACATTTTAAATTTTAAATATATGCATAAAGTTATATACAGTGATAACCAGAAAACTCTGAAAAAGGAAGACAACTTTTAGACTCCAGTTATGACTTGTGCAGTGCATTAGACCCCTTTCACTTAACTATTGATTTAATAAGATGTCTTGTAAAACTTTTCTTTGTAACAACATCAAAGACACAATTTCTAGCAAGGGTGTAATAAAAGGAAAGTTAATTGCAGTCGTGTATACTCTGCGTACATATTAAAACCAGTTCTCTTTGGGCGGAATTTGTAAACAAGAATAGATGCATCAGTGTTCGTATAGTATCCGAGGAGGTTAAAAGCATTAAATTTTGATAATTTTGATAATTCACATAATAGTTACCTATGACCAGAATATTTCATTGATTTTTCTATATGAAAGATGGATCCCATGTCAGGCTTTGACATCCGTCTTATGTTTACATTACCGCCCAGAGACAGTACATTGCAGTACAAAAGATGTGTAGAATTCTGAAATAACCTTCCTTGCATTACATTCTTGATTTCTAGTAATAGACCTGCTGTCCTGTCTAGTGAGAGTTTTTTTCTTTGGTTGATTATTATACACTTTAGTCCGATTTTTTAGTCGTGCTACCATGGGTCGTATTTATCTATCTACACTGCTCTGGTACAGATTAATTCATAGTGTGACTATGGGTTGTTCCACAGATGACTACACAGACTGCTCATACACTCTACCTGGATAGGCTGAACAGGCCTATAGCGACCCGGCACGCCATGCAAATGTTTTTTGACTGACATCTGACGACCTGCACTTGTTGCATTCAGGGGTTAAGTTTTACAACTTTTAAAGAAACTCCAATTTTAAACATAAACTAAAACGTTTATGAATAATGTCTATTTTTAAAGATTTTGCATTTACTATTCAAAGGATCCTTAAATATCCCTGAATACAGATGTCTCCTGATTGGTCGTGTACAGTACTTGTACACAATAGAACATATTATAGATGTTAGTCGATCTCTGTAACTCTCTTATCTTTGGGTTGTACTTAATATAGCAGGACTAAGAAATCAAGCTTATACAGTGTAGACTGAGGCCGTTCCTTCCATAAACTACATTGGTCGACAACTTCACGTCTCCTATATTGGTCGTGAAATGTATGGAGAAATAGTGTTTTGTTCAAACGCGTTCTTCCATGAGTTATCAGTGTCTGAGTATTGTCCGACCACAAACACATACATATGCGACCCCTATCGACGGAGGAAAAGGGAAAGCTTTTTACGAATTTGATTTGAACGCGGCAAACTATCTTAAGCTTAGGAAATTGTACTTGGAATTAATTTCAAATTCATAATGGATCTTAAAAACAAGACACTGCAATCAATTTATGAAATGAAATCAGAAAGCTACTTTGATTAGTGCTGCCACCTTTTCTCAAATAAATCATGGCCACAGTACGGCTAATGCACGGCTAATGATCCAGATACCGTGTGGCGTGAGCAACTCTGTCCGTCCATGAATAACTCACGGGAGACATCTAGCGGCCAAATTATCGTCCTCCAAAGTACGTGAACTACACGTCCATTATCTATAGATGGAACGGCCTCTGTACATGATAAAGTGTTCATTTACCTAGTACATTATTTTATACAAAGTTGCAGTACACATATTATTTAATAAACTGGCTTTTCGAGTAAACATAACAGGAATCAGTTTTCTACTAAACATAGATCGCTGCAGTGTTATTACAGGGATTGAAAGTGAATGTGTGATTTTTTTTTAATTAGTGAATTGAAATTCTCGTCTTTATCTCCTAAATGTGGGGGGGGGGGGTTCTAACCCTTCTAACCCTGCAAAAAGCTTGCTTTGGTCATTCATTAGTTACAAAGTAAAATTTTTATATGGTTTTTTAAAATTCAAATATTATGGATGTAATCTTAAAAAATTGATTTATATTGGATTAAAATGTGATTTTATCCAAATGTTATCATTTTACTTGATGCGACAGTATAGTATTGTTTAGTTACAATCGCATTAAACATCAATATTGACCTAAGAAAGGGGGATTTTTTAATTTCAGCCCTTCTCCGTCAAGCTAATAATCTACATTTATATTCATAATGGCGGATCACTGTTTGTTTGTATGTCCGATCATAACTGTTGAACCCCGGGACTTATATGCCTCAAATTTTGATTTGGTAACAGAACCATGGAACGTTCCTAGCTTAGCTTTGAAAAGTAGAGTTGAGTGGGTTGGTTTCTATATCGAAAGTTAGGTCTACGGATATCTTAGATATCCCGTCGCGGTCCTACCCAACAGGGATAACTTTAACTATTCTTAAATCTATAGTGCCCTCTTCAACCGTCCAAGACTTATAACAATACTCCACTCAAAAGTTTCGAGCTCAAGAGCTTGGTTTACAACAAATTTTGAACTTTTGTGAAATTTTTAAAATGTGAATGGTATTTTAAAAATAGATGAATATAAATGGCTGGTTGTTGCTGGGGGTTGTCCTACTCAGCTGGTCTTCAAGGCCGGTCAGATCAAGGAATACTAACATTGGACCCAGGTAATAGTCTAAAGGGACACAATGATAAATCTTTAAAGGGACATTTTACCACAAAGGTTGCTAGGATTCTGTAGTTGAAAACTACATCAAGAACAGGTGAAAACTAGGGTCACTAGACCAAAACAGGTTCATTTAGAATTATTTAAAGGATCACTAAACCAAAACAGGTTTATTTAGGATTCTTTATAGGGAGACTAGACTAAAACAGGTTCATTTAGGATATTCTTTAAAGGGACACTAGACCAAAACATGTTCTTAGGGTTCTTTAAAGGGACACTAAACCAAAACAGGTTTATTTAGGATTCTTTAAAGGAACACTAAATCAAAACAAGTTCATTTAGAATTCTTTTAAGGGACGCAGGATCATAATAAGTTCATAATTGGATTGACACTAAACCAAAACAAAACAATAGGATTCTTTAAAGGGACACAACACGCCAAGAAAAGCTAACACAACGTTTTTATTAAAGTCACTCGACGCCTTTAGGCTTTGGTCCAGGTATATCTTAGTCCATATAATAACAAGATAAGATTAAAGCTTACATGGAGTTTTCGCAAATTTAAGAGTTTTTTTTAAAAATTTTATTAAAATTGTTAAAGCAATATTCTTTGCTCTTTAAAAGACTGATTGTATTAAATTTTCTTAAATGAGACAAGATAAAATTAAATTAACTTTAATCGGTTTAGAATTAAAATCGGTCATCCTTCCAAATTGCATTTTAGCTAAAGTAATTATGTTGTTATAAATCAAATCGTTTTACCATTAACTTATTAAATCACTAGTTAAATGGGCCTGTTTTAAGTTTACACGTTCATTTAAAGTCGAAACTTGAGTCTTAAAGTCGCCTTCCTATTCCAGAATTTTCTGGTTCTCTCTGTAACATCTAAAAGTTTAAATCTTATTGTTAAGTACTTGGGAGGACTCGGTGACAGCTCTTGGACTAGATTCAACCATAGATAAGGTAGGTATTCGTTTGCATAAGGGTTCTGTGAGCTTCTTGAAGTTTGTTTAATTGTTTCTGTGCTGATTTTGATGCTTCTGACTCAAACCTATTTTGAAAGTTTTAACCCGAGTTTCCGGTATTTAATAAATTGTCCAATTTTGATGTTTATTGTCTCGATTTTTGCCTAAATTTTCTTATATGGTAAAATATAGTCCAACTGTCAAAAAAGCTATTATATATTCTAAACTTGCCTTTCTTACACTAAACCAAAATATATGCTAAGAACGAACCAAAAACGCCTAGAAACGAACATGATGGAATAGTTTTTCATATTTCCTAATTTCAGGATAAAAATATTGCACAATTTTGTACTTTGCAGTTAATTTTAATTTTGAAGGATTTGAGTGTATTTGAGAATGGGATGCAGAGGGTAGGAAGCAGCTTTGCTATGCTTATAAAGGCAGCTCTGGCCCAAAGCAAGAAGAGGAATCAACAGAAGAATGAAGTAAAAGAAAGAGAACTACAGGGACAAGAGAAAGTAGAACAGCAGAGTAAAGCAGATGATTCCTTGGTCTTGGGTAGGAACATTGTTACAGTACACACATAAAACTAACTACAGCATCTTGTCTGTATCAGAGTATATTTATATTTTTATCTCTTATTCAGAATCCGTCAAAAATTCAAAATAGCAAATACTAAAAATCTACATCTAATGGGTGAAAATTGGTTCCTAAGTTACGATGGAAAGGTCTAATTTGTCTGATCATGATTCTTTTCTTTGTGATGTTGACACTCGGAATTGTTTTAATACATTTTTTATCAAAAAACTGCTTTGTTTAGATTATGGATTCATTTTATTTTTTTGTTAATTTTTTTAATAAATTTATTCTTAGAATCCCGCAGTAAGAGATTTATCAACCTGCCTGCTGCCTGGAAAGTTATCTACCATGAGTTCCCCAAAACAGTTCACAATGTTATGGAAAATGCTGAGATTAGGTTAGAAAAAGACTTTTACAATGATTTATCAAAACTCGAAAAAAATCAGTCTAGATCTGTTAATTATGAATTCTGTTAATATGAAAATGAAAGAAAAAGGTTTAACTGTTAATTTCCAAAAGTTTGTAAAAATTTATAATTCTAACAGCTCCAGTAAAGGTTCCAGGCCCTTCAGGTTCCAAATTTATCCAGAAAAGTTTGAAAACTCTAATTCTATTTAATAGAAATTTCTCTTTAGATATGACGCAGAGAGAAAAAACATCATTCCCATAGATTATTCTTCCTTGGTATGTAACTTACCTCAATTTTCAATTCTTTAACTTATGATGTCAAAACTAAACTGATGTTTTCTTCTTTTAAAGAACTCAAACTCTGGTCAACTATATTTAACTGAAACTTCTGACCAACCCAACCCCCTGGTTCCAACATCATTCGGAGACACAATTGAAACCTTAAGCCAAAAGTCTTTTATCAGCAAAGAGCAAAGATACCAAACCAACTTTGATAACACGCCATTGGCACAAACTGGTTATCCTGCATACTCTATGCTGACAAAGAGAGAGACTGCTACAACATTTGATCCGTCTAAGCTTCATCAAATCCTTGGAAAGGGATCCTCCAGTGGTATCACCCACTATACAGAAGTTATGAATGTCGAGAGGAAGGAGAAACCAATTGATTCACATAAAGAAGATAAAGCTAAACTAGAGATAACAGTAAGTTTTTTCTTATAAACTGACAGATGCAACATTTGTATGTGTACTAAAAATGGTTTATTGTTTTAATGAAATATCACGATTGGTTATCTCATACAAAGTTTAAGTCTTAACAATTTAATTTGCTTTTTTTTAAATATATTGTTTTCAAGTTAGGAATGTACGAAAAAAGTATAGATTTTATTCATTAAGAAATGAGTTAATTGACAATTGACTTCACTAACTCAAAATATTCCTTATTCCAGAAGCCTTCAGTCCCATCTCCAGTTAAGGCTCAACCATTTAATTCCAAGTTCAAGATATTTAGACGCAGCGCTGTTGGATTGAATCAGGAGGTAATGTTTTCATATTTTATCTACTTTTTAAATAATAAAAAATGAAATATTTAGGAAGAAGATGCTCTTAATTTTGATGTAGCTGAAAAAATAATACAGACTTCCGAAAATTCTGAAGATGCACTTCTCAAGATGATAAATGCAGGGAAAAGCTTTGATAAAGCTTTGCAACAGGTTAACTTCTTACTCATCTTATTTGAGTTTAACTTTTACAATATTTATTTGTATTTGAACTAAACTGTTCTAATGTTTTCTTCAAATTAGATTCTTGGGAACCAGGATATTGAAATGTTTAAGAAGATTGTAGATGAATCTCAAAAAGAGTCTGAAGTAGAGACTGAAAAATTGGTGGAACATTTAAATGTACAAAGAAGATCTACCGATGAAGATCAAAAAGAACAGTTAGCAAAAGCAGTTGAAAAGTTCCAGCAAGTTATGAACTCTGTTATTGAGAATCCTGGAAATAGGTTTGCAGATATCAACAAGATGATGAATGCCGAGAATGAGCTGGATTTAGCTGTACATAAGGTAAAAAGGGTTTGTTTGTTTTTTGTTTAAATTTTTTTTAATTTCTCTATTAGTGTTCCTAATTCCTATGTTTCTCTTACATATATTAATGTAGAAATATCTTAAAGGTTCTTGGGAACAAACATGAAGACGATGCTACTGATGTGGAGATGATGGAGAAAATCCTCAAAGAAGAAAAGATGCCAAACTATCGTCTGGAAAAAAGGTCTAAAAATACTGAAATGGAGGATGCGTTTAAAAGATCAGTTGACAACATGAAGGCTGTGAATAAGATCTTGGAACACAATGAAGGTATGGAAAAGGCGTTAGAGGCATTGATTAAAGCTGATCATGATATCACAAATATAGTTGACACAATCTTGGGACCAAATAAGGTGGAAAAGCTTTCTCATGCCAGAAGAAAACGAGCCCATGGTGTTGGCTATTATGATCCTGAATATCAATGGTTGGTGAAGGAACTGGATCTGCCTATCAATGACCAAATTAACCTTCATAAGTTAGAGACAGTTCTTCAGAATGGTAGACAGGCAAGTAATCCCTCAGAGAGTAGTTTGTATACAAATGACCCCTCTGTTCATCAATATAACCCTGAACCTTCTCCATCTTATAACAGAGGTTCTTCAGATCAATATCATCAACCTGACCAATATCCCTACCCTGAAAAGCAAAGTCCACAATTTCATGAATCATCTGGTTATTTCAGTCAAGGTTCCCATCAACACAGTGAGCCACCCTTTCAATATGGTGAGCAAACTGGAGCAAATCACAATACCTATTCTGCTTATGAACAAAGTTCAGAATTCCCATCACAGGAAGTATATGACCTGTCTTCCGATGGTTTCTATAAAACCAGATATTCAAAACCAATTTCTTTCAATAGCCAGTCAAACCTTAATCAACACAATTCTCAGGCTTACAAAACTGAAAAAGGCCCATTGGAATCATTAGTTGATTCACTAACTCCATTCAGGAATGCTATTCCCACTGAGATAGAAGCAGCTTACCATGGTGTTGTTGAGGTAGGCAAACATGTAGGAAAGCGTATAAAGCCATTAGTGGAGACTGGTTACAGGAATGTTGCTTACAGATATATTCCTCAAGCTAAGAGAACCTTTAACTATGCTGTTGATAGTGTACCTGAAGATATAAAAGATTTTGCTAGACAAGGACGTAAAATAGTTGAAAGTAGGGCAATTTATGCATCGGAAGTGGCCAAACCAAGGATGAAATCTTTGCAAGAAAGTCTTTGGTTACTCCAGGAGCAACTGAAACAAGTTGCTCAAGAAACAGGAGAGTACACAACGAGAGAAGTGGTTCCTGCCCTGATCCCAGCAATTCAAGGACTCTTGTTTGATGTTCAAGAAACCCTTGAGCTTGCAAGCAATATTGTGGAGGAAGATGTCAAACCTTTTGTTGGAACCATGAAAGATGATGTGATTAAGCCCACATATGAAGAGGTAAATAAAAACTTTAATCTCTTGGCAATATTTACATTTCAATAATTTTCAGTTAACCTCTAAGGTAGTCTATCCTGCAGCACAAACCATGAGTGATTATGTGTTTAACCCAGTTGCTAGCTCAGTAAATGATTATGTTGTGGAACCAATATCAGAGTCTGCCAGGTAAGAAAATTGTTTTGCATTGTAATAAATTTTTTGTCTATGAAAGGTTTTAATTTTCTAAAGTGATATTAACTTTTGATGTTGTTTTATAGACCGGCATATAACAAATATGCTGTTCCTGCTTACCAGTCTGCTCGTCACTATGCAGGATCAGCTATTTCTGGTAAGATATTTGCATGCCGTTGACTTCATCCAAAACCCTGATTAATGACCAATATGATATTTGCTGAAATGTTAGTGAGAAAGGTTCTAATGTCATTCATTGAAAATCTGTGGTCTGTATTTTATGAAGATGGTTAATGACAAATTTATTTTAACAAATGCACCCCCTTTGAAGGGATTGTAAAGGAAAATTGAAAGGAGGTATAGGCTGAAAGCTATTCACTTTAGCCCTTGATCATGACCCATGAAAGTTATACATGATGTTTCTGTCTCGAGAAATTGATATAAAACCTTGTCAAATTTATACGAAAATTCATATATATATGTATATAAAAATAGTAGGTGCAGATCATATTCAGCAAATATGCAACCAATCTGAATACGAAGATATCGCAGAGAAACCTTATTGTTACTTAGGTTTTCTCCAATTATTTTTATAATTTTTATTTTCATTTTAATATATATAATTAATAATATTAAATGTCTGTATTGTGTCACAAGAAATCCCACCAATGAGAGTGCAGTATACTGGTCATGTGATACAGACAGAGACACATGACCATTATGCTGCACTCTCATTGGTGGGAGTTCTTCTGACAAAATACTGACTTAAAATAATTTTATCAAGTATTTGTTTTTAAAAAAATATAAAATAATAATTGGAGAAAATTAGGTTTCTCTGGGATATCTTTGTTTTCAGATTGGTCGCATATATGCTGAATATGATCTAATTAAAGTTACTATTTCTATGCAAAATTGAATATAAATGAATTTTTGCATAAATTTAACACAGTTTTATATCAATTTATTGAGACAGGAACATCAGATAACTTTCATGGGTCGCGATCAAGAGCTAAAGTGACTAGCTTTCAGCCTATACCCCCTTTCATTTTCCCTTAACAGTCCCTTTAAATTAACATCTCACACAAGCTATTCGCTACACTTCAGTCTATATTTTGATAATTAAATGTTGGCAAAGAAGATTTTTGAATTGTTTAAGTTAAAACTTCTCCCAAAATATTTTCTAATTCTAAGGTGTCAATTCTGCTGCTGAATCTTCTAAAGTAGTTTACCAAGAATCAGTTCGCCCAAGACTCGAAACCTTTGCTGAGAACTCCAAAGCAGTCTACAAAGAGAGTGTTCAGCCTAGACTTGAAAACTTCTCCAATTCTACTTCTCAGGTTAACTGAGTCAATAAGTTTCTTCTTTACTGTAATAATAAACCCTAATTAAGTTGATGATTTAGAACTTACTTTAACTATTTCAAAATTTCTAACAGAATGTTAAGGTTTGAAAACATTCTGTTTGGTGACTTAATATTACTGANCTTTACTGTAATAATAAACCCTAAAGTTGATGATTTAGAACTTACTTTAACTATTTCAAAATTTCTAACAGAATGTTAAGGTTTGAAAACATTCTGTTTGGTGACTTAATATTACTGACAAACTCTTAATAATGTTCTTTAATTTGCAGAGTTTATGATTGTTATTCCATGAATATGACTCCCATGCACTTAAGATACTCAATGAGTTCAAAAGTAAACTAGGGTTAATTTTTGCTTCAGGTTCTGCAGGAGAGAGTGAAACCAGCAGTATCACAGGCAGCTGCAGCTGTTGGAGAGAGAGCTGCTAGAATAGGAGGATCCATCAAGGTAATGATGTCATTGATATTTACCTTTCAATTTTTTTACTATCTAAACTAAAGATCCTGTCTTCTATATTTAAGTGACCTCTCATTGGAAGAGTTTCATTCGAGATTTAGAGCAACTTTTATTTGAATAAACATGCGGAATATATTCTCATTTACAATATTTGAATAAACATGCGGAATATATTCTCATTTACAATATTTTAAGAGACCAATTCAGTCCCTTATTTCTAGCCTCTGCTGCATGAATCAACCATTTTTTTGGATGAAATTATCTATTCAAAAACACAACTAAGTATATTTATAATATTTGTTCAGCTAAAGGTTCAAAGGGTTTTTTTTGTCAGTAACTCTTTAAATGAAGGGTATCTTGAAATTACGCCGACTGTCTTTTTAAGAACTTTCTGTTTTTTTTTCTAATAATATAAAAATTGACTTTCCATGTTTCAATGAAAGATTTTTCCATAACAAATCAAAATCAATATTGTTCAAAGACTGTTGATTGTCTACAGCACTTATAACTGTTGATTGTCCACAGCTCAAAAACGTGTGATCGCCCGTAGCTCTTAAAACTGTTGATTGTCCACAGCCTTCATAACTTATGATCGCCAACGGCTCTTAAAACTGATGACTGTCTACAGCCTTTATATAACTGTTGATTGCCCACAGCTCTTAAAAATGGTGCTTGCTAACAGCTCCTAAGACTGTTGATCGCCAACAGCTCTTAAAACTGTTGATTGTTCACAGCCCTTAAAAATTGTGATCTCCAACAACCCTTAACACTGTTAATCGTCCACAGCTCTTGAAATTGTTAATCATCCACAGCCTTTAAAACTGCTGATCGCCCACAGCCTTTATAACTATTGATCGCCAACAGCTTATAACAAAGCTGATCGTCCACAGCCTTTATTTCTGTTAATCGCCCACAGTTCTTTAAATTGTTGAATTTTCACAGCCTTTATAATTAATAATCCCACACAGCTCTTAAAACTGTTGATCGACCACAGCCCTTAAAAACTTGTCATCTTCAACAGCTCTTAAAACTGTTGATCGTGCAGTCCTTAAAACTTGTAAAGGATGATGTTGTTCCTCCTCTGCAGGAAGGTTTGAAGAACACTCTCAACAGTGTTTTCACTGGGATTCCAAGCTTGGTCCAGAAGGTAAAAAATATTATGGTTTACCAATATTCTGNAAAGTTCTGTAAAATTCTTAGGGTCTTTTAAAAAAGCGCCACAAAAGTCTGAAGGTTTAAACATTACAAAACTTTATTCTGAAAAGATTTTATTGAACAAAAAACATTTTTAACCCTGAAAAACGATTCTGTGAAAACGAAAGTGGGTTCGTTTTGCAGGATAAATATAAATTTAATAGTTGAACAAATTCTTGAACTTATTGGATTTTTTGAGCCTTTGAAAATCCAAAAATAAGTTTTAATAAACAACAATTTATCGCCCATTAATATTTTCCCCACTAACAAGGGATGTATTTTAGCTGAGTTATGAAGCTCATGATGCTGCAAAGATCTTCAGTGGCAAGTATTCACAATCTTTGGAGAATCTTAAAGTGAAAGAGAATCGAAGAAGACTGGTAAGATGATTTTATTATTTTTGAAAATATCCCCCCTTCTTCCCCCCTTCCACCCCTCCCCATCCGAAAATAAGGGGGCGGAATGTGAAATTCCGAAAACTAAACCCTAATCCTAACTTAATAACAAAACCAGGATACGCTGGGCCCCTTTTAAATCCCATGTTTGATGTCCAGATGTCCAAATATGACAAATGATACATCTTTGTAAAGCTCTAATACTCTATTTTTAGAATCCGTCAAATAATTTTCAAATTTGCAAAAATAGAATTGTTTTGGCAAAATCCAGTTATATAGTAAAAATGTTTCCAAAAAAGATGCCCAAAAAAAGTGATAAAATATACATTTTTGAAAGCCCTCGACCATGCCATTTCTAACGTGCACAAAAATTTTCTAAATTTTGAATAACCTGATGTGTAATTAAGAAAGACTAAAAATGTGCAAATTTTAACAGGTTGTATACAAAAAAATGCAATTTTTTGCAAAACTTGTGCAATCCGTTTTCTTAAATTCCAAAAAGCTAAAAATTGTTACAGAAAAAAGTAGCCATTCAGGAAGTGTGCCTGAGTATTCAGAAAGTTGATATAAAAGCCTCGTTTTAGACCTAAAGGGAGGGCTATGGGTATTAAGGAAAAGTCAGAAAATTTCAACAGCCTCAGACCAATGCTTTTTGAGTTGAAAAAACTACAGGGGGTTAAATTGCCCCCCCCCCCGGCAGGAATAAGCAGGGGCGTACGAGGGGAGGGGGCAGCGGCCCCCCCCCTACGAGTGCCTCGCCCCCTGAAGGGGGCACCTATATAAGAAATACTTTAAAATCTCACTTTTGCCCTTAACTAAAAAAGTTTCATTAAGAAAGCTTTAATCAATGCTGCCTTCAGTGTAAATGTGTCTTTGAATTATTATTTATAATTAAACAATATGAATTGTTTCTTTGAAAATATAGATATTTTTTTAAGAAACGTTTCCATTTCTATTAATTACCCATTGAAGCTTACCGCACAGTATTAAAGAGGAAGTGTCTGATGAGTACATTTAAGAAAATTACATAAATATTTTATTATAACCTTGTCATACGGATGTGTGAACATATGATCGAATAGTTTACATAGTTAAAAAAGATATCAATATTTTTTCAAAAANCCAATGTTCCCCCCCCCCTACACAAATGCTCTCTTACGCCCCTGGATAGGGTTAAGCTAATTTATACTTTTTCATACTTTTTCTCAAAGTATACCTCATACATTGCAAAATTAAGATATACAATGGTAAGAAGGAGGAGAGGGTCTTCCCACTCAAAAAGTAAGAAAAATCTGTTGAAATACAAAACGCTCCTTCATCCAAACCGCAACTTCAGTGGCTTCTAACTATTTTAACCTAATCAATAACCTGGAATAGTGATTGTTATTCCAGACATTAAGCGTAATTTCAAGGGATCCTCCATGCAAAGATGACAATGTCCAATTTCAAGGGTAACCTTGTAATCCTGATTTGATCAAAAATAAAGTTGTTTTCCTGGCTCTAAAGTGTTTAACTCTGATTTCTCAGATTTTTCAAGAAATACTTGAGCCACTTTGGCAGAACGGCAAATGAAAATTAACAGTTTAAAGGGCTCCAGTACTAAAGGTAGATTTACAAAAGGTAGAATATCAAAAGGTAGAATTACAAAATGTAGAACGATCAGAATGTAAAACATAGAAAAGGTAGAATTACACAAGGTATACTTTTCCAACTTTTGAGAAGGAAGAAATTTTACAATTTCTGCAGGAAATGTGCGAAAATTTTTGAAAAATTCCTAAAACTGAATTTCTTGTTGAATTTCAGTAAGCATTTTGTCACCTTAAAAACGTCGACTGCTACAAAATTTTACATTATGTATGTGTTAGGTTAAGAAAATTTCTGGGCCGACCGCTGCAGCTAGAATGGGCTAGCGGACCGAGCACTGTGGCCTCTTAAATGTTGATTTTTGATTTTAGCTGACTATTTCATGCTTCTTATTTAGCAATTATCTTCAAATTTAAACTGTAATAGCCTGTTCTAGCTTTGGCGCTCTGCCTAGAAATTGTCTTAAACTGACCTAACCTAAAAAGGTGAGAAACAGAACATCATTCAACGTTATTTAACAAGCCGCAGTGCTCGACCCCCTAGCCCATCCTAGCGGCAGTGCTCGGCCCAGAAATTGTCTTAACCTAACAATATGTAATTCTACCTCTTTTATTTTATACCTTATGATCTTCCTACCTTTTGTAATTTTACCTTTTGTACTGGAGCTGTTAAAAGAAACAAACACGTGTACTTATTCGTAATTGGTCAGACAAAGCTTTTGAGGGTACAGTTGTGACTCCCTTTAAGACGAACAAGGGTCCTGATATTAGTTCAGACTTGAAAAGATGAATATGTAATTCTCATGTTAAGGAAGAGGAAATAAAGCTGAGTATGATAAGAAAGGCCGAGGAGGATGAGAAGAATAGGATCAGGAACATGGAGTACAACGCTGAGATGCAGTACAAGGACAAGAATGGAGAAGGTAAACAATCTGAGGATATGTTCTGTCTAAAAAAGCTATTAAAAAAAGTTCCATTAAAACCGTGTTAATACACAAAATCCCTTTTCTTTCAAGAGTGGAACAATTGTGAAAATTTCGTTCTGTTTTGGCTTTCATAATATGTATATAAAAGTAGCATGTTTTCTGACTCAAAGTGTTTATTTCTGATAATTTCTTTATTGTTTCTCTTTTGCATTGGTATGCGTAAGTCACTGAATAGTTAAAAGAAACCAAAGCATGGATTTATTATTCATACTTGATCAGACAGAGCTTTTAAGGGTAACCGTTCTAACTCGGGTAAATTGCAATACTTCTGATCAAGGATGCATGAAATACTCTTATTCGTATATAGTTAATATTTCATAATATTTTTGATTTAGTTTTTTTTAAATAATTTTCGCTGGGGCTGGATTTTCGAACATTCTTGGAAAATATGAAAATGTCGTCTTCATTATCAAAAATCCTCGAAACAGGAAAAAATGTAACTCTCAGATCATGAAAAATACAAAATATTATGAAATATCAACTATTTACGAATGCATCGAAAAAAAAATCGATGACTATTGTTTGTAATATCTGAATGATTTGTTTGGAATTAAATTGATTTGTTTACGATCCGAGTTGAATGTTGCATCTTTCTGAATTTGTATGGACACTACATTCTTCGGTATTAATCGTTTTTAAAAATTTTCTCCTTATAGACGCAACAGATAGAAGTAAGATTAGTAGCGATCAAAAGCGCTTTTTTATCGCGGCAAGCCTATACCCCTTTTCATTTTTCGCAAACACTCCCTTTAATAATGATCTGTTTCAGATGTTTCTAGTGATGAAGAGGCTACTATTGAGGATGTTAATTATGATTCTGTTTGTAGTGATGAAGAGGCTACTATTGAGGATGTTAATAATGATCTTTTTCAGATGTTTCTAGTGATGAAGAGGCTACTTTTAAGGATGTTAATGATGATTCTGTTTCAGATGTTTCCAGTGATGAAGAAGCTACTATTGAGGATGTTAATAATGATTCTGTTTCAGATGTTTCTAGTGATGAAGAGGCTACTATTGAGAATGTTAATGATGATTCTGTTTCAGATGTTTACAGTGAAGAAGGGGCTACTATTGAGGATGTTAATAATGATTCTGTTTCAGATGTTTCTAGTGATGAAGAGGCTACTAATGAGGATGTTAATAATGATTCTGTTTCAGATGTTTCCAGTGATGAAGAGGCTACTATTGAGGATGTTTATAATGATTCTGTTTCAGATGTTTCCAGTGATGAAGAAGCTGCTATTGAGGATGTTAATAATGAATCTGTTTTAGATGTTTCCAGTGATGAAGAAGCTACTATTGAGGATGTTAATGATGATTCTGTTTCAGATGTTTCCAGTGATGAAGAAGCTGCTATTGAGGATGTTAATAATGAATCTGTTTTAGATGTTTCCAGTGATGAAGAAGCTACTATTGAGGATGTTAATGATGATTCTGTTTCAGATGTTTCCAGTGAAGAAGAAGCTACTATTGAGGATGTTAATAATGATTCTGAAGAGGCTACTATTGATGATGTTAATAATGTTTCTGTTTTAGATGTTTCCAGTGCTGAAGAGGCTACTATTTAGGATGTTAATGATGATTCTGTTTCAGATGTTTCCAGTGATGAAGAAGCTACTATTGAGGATGTTAATGATGGTTCTGAAACTGTGGAAACTTCAAGTAAATCAACACTGGAACAAACCACAGAAGCAGCTCAGGGACAAAACCCAGTAAAATCTGAGCAAATGATGCCCGCGGTCCCCCCCCCTCATCCATTAAAAAATTGAAACCTGAGTGACCATATATTCTCGTATTAATTCTATCACCAAAACTAATTTATTGAAAATAAAATTTGTGAGAAACAACGTTTAAGTTTTAGCCTTGGTATTCCTGATAATTTTTAACACTTATTATGTTTATTATGGGGAAACAGAATTTTTAACACTTATTATGCTTATTATGAGGAAACAGAATTTTTAACACTTATTATGTTTATTATGGGGAAACAGAATTTTTAACACTTATTATGTTTATTATGAGGAAACAGAATTTTTAACACTTATTATGTTTATTATGGGGAAACAGAATTTTTACACTTATTATGCCTATTATAAGGAAACAGTTAACGAACGACCTTCAAAAGTTACACTTTCATGTTTAATCTATCTCAGCATATTTCAAGATTCATTTTGAATTTATTAGGCTCAAAAGTTCAGAAAAATCAGATAACATAATAATTATTTGTACAGTAAGACGCACACAACTGTGGAATAGGAAGACGACTTAAACTTTCCCATTGAACATAAAACACCGCAATTTTGCATTATGCACTTAATAATGACTCAATACTTATATTTACCCCTTCCACTAATTAAGTTGATTTTAAAACTACTGGTATCTTCAGAACAATATCAAATAAACCTACGATTTCTCAAGTATTGTCTTCATATTCTAGACTTTTATGAGCTTCAATGTATGTTTTTAATTCTGGCGTTCAAGGCGAGCTGCTCAATATTAGAAAAAAAGTGTTAACTCTAAATATTTTTTCGGACTGTTCAAAGAGTTTTTAATTAAGATAATTTAAAGAGTTTTGTATTTTTTGAAGAGTTCTGTAACTACTGAAGCTGGAGATAACTCTGTAACTAAAGAACCTGGCGAGGAGTATAAAACTAGCACTGAACTGTGATCTATTTAACAGTTATGTATCACTTGACACTAATTTTATTTAGATTTTGTATTAAATAAATTAATTTTGGTAAATCTTGAATTCACGACCTTAAGGCTTGAAGTAGGTAGAAAATCTTGAACAAGAGATTTAATGATATGGCCCAGTTATGGGCCCCTTGGTTTGATAACTGTACAATAATTCATTCGTGTTGATAATGATCCAAACCACAGAGGTGTTATTTCCTCTTATTTGAAATATATTTGAGTCTAGGCTAAAAAGATGCAAAAACTTGTCTTTAAATTGGTGGTCTGAGCCCGCCCTCTCCATAGAAAGTGGTCGTGTAGTTCACGTACTTTGGGGGACGATATGTTGGCCTCTAGATGTCTCGTGCTAAATTCTGATCTGATAGATATTTCTCCGTACATTTGATGACAATATAGAAGACGTCAAGTTATCGACCAATGTAGTTTATGGAAGGAAAGGCCTCAGATAGATAGATATTTCTCCCTACATTTGACGACCAATATGAGAGACGTCAAGTTGTCGACAAATGTAGTTTATGGAAGGAACGGCCTCAGGTTTGATGATTGTTCAACAATCCTTTGTTTAATCATTTATAGCAACTGTACATTTTTTCTATTGTGAGTACCGAGCTTCTGATTCTCAGACTTCAGTTGTGTACACTTCAGGACAATAATGTAGATATGGAAGTATCGTTAGGCCTATATCTAAGGCTTTTTAGAAATATCAATGAAATAACAATTTTTATGAAGCTTACTTGATTTTGTAATTTCTTTGAACTGGAATTTGTCCTCAGTGCTGGACAGGATTGTTATCTTTTTCACTAAAAACGTTATTTTTATGATTTTTATAAATGGCAAAACAGATTCTCATCTCTTTTATTATCTTGCCTTCACTTTTAATTGTATACTACAGGGTTACCCACAAAGGATGAGATTTTACGAGACGACCCAAAACTCTTAAACATATGATGATTTGAATCTTGATTTTTAGTTTCTGCATCGAATTTAGTGTTTTGATGGTTTACTAAATGGTTAAGCGCAGAAATAAGCCAGGTTTGCAGCCTGCGCAAGTTCTGTACAATCGTCTTATGAAGTCTCATCCTTTGTGGGTAACCCTGTATCTTACATTCTTATAACATTTTAATCCATGTAGAATAGGATAGATTTATTAGAGCTCGTCGGACCAAAAACTGTGTAACAAAGAATCAATTTTTGCAATAAGGGAATAAAAATAATCTAAAAAGGTTTACCATTGGCTGCATGGATACCAATCTCCATAATACTGGATAAAGATGGGAAGCTGATATCCAGTATCTGTGGATACACTCCACAGGATATCCAGAAAGATTCGGAGCTACGATAGAAATAGATAATCAAATTTTATGAATGTGGAATTGGATTCAGTGCTAATGTGTTCATAGTTTGTTGTGCGTGTTTTTTCTTTTAATTGTTTTTATACAGGGTGTCCCACGAAACATGACAGTAGCAAGACAGCTTAAAAGTTGTCGTTGAACTTGGAATTATTTGTGACATTTAGTCTCAACCTACTTTTACATGTATGATTCTTAAAACAATAATCACAAAAATCTCCTAGTCCTGACATTTCCAAAATGTGGTTTGCCTTAATGTGCTGTCAATATTACTGGAGATATTAAGAATTTCGTTCAGAATTCAATTTTCTTAAATTAAAGAAAAATTACCGATATCTGAACGAAATTTTTCTTACCTAGAGTAATATTGAAAGCAACAAAAAAGGAGACCACAATCGTCTTGCTACTGTCATGTTTCATAGGACACCCTGTATCTGCGGACTGAGCATGTAAAAAGCCGTCTACAGGCTATTCCAATTAACATTGGAATTGAGAGATCATACTTAGATATCGTCTTTGTCAAGAATTCTGAATTATATCATACTAAACATAGTGTTTATAGTGTTAAAAATTCTGTAAGACATTGTTCAGACATAAGCTGTTTAAATCACAAGAGTTGGCGATCAAAACAAACAAACCAATTTACACTTTACAGAATACAACATTTTTAGTATCAAAATATACATTAAAGATTATTTCGAAGCATGATCGTTCAATTATCATGTTTCTTGACAAACCCCATACAAATATACAAATTTAAGATTTGACTAAATTTCAATGTTAAATCTTTCTTCCGCCCTCAAAATGGAAAGTAAGCATAATTTCAAATGACCCTTCATGAAAAGATGGCAATGTCTGATTCAAAGAGGGAGGGAAACCCCGGACCCCATGAGCCTCCGCCATTCAGACAAGAGCCTCCCAGATGTTCAGACACCAAGCCTCCGCCATGCATAACGGAGGCTCTTTTACTGCATAGCGGAGGTTCTTACTGCATGGTGGAGGCTCGGTCTGCCTAGCAAATCTGGGAGGCTCGTGTCTAAATAGCGGAGGCTCATGGCGTCAGGGCTTTCCCTCCCTGATTGAAAACGGTATCCTTGAAACCGTTATCTGATCAATAATGTTGAAAATATCGTCGCTATAATGGGGTTATTAGTGTTTCGTTAGGATAATTTCTATATGTTTTCCAGCAGTAGAAATGCTCAATTGTCACTTTTGTAGAAAACATGCAATTGAAAGTAATTAGTTTTAGAAATTATAAACAATGATAACTTATGTATACTTGATCAGACCGCTTTTAAGGGTATTGTTAAAAATTGGGCATTGTCATATTTGCATGAAGGGTTACTTGAAATTATACATTATTTATAATTGAATGAATTTATATTGATCCGAATCTATATCCACAAACAACGAATTCGGCTCCAAGAATGCTATAAAAGCTATGATCCGGATTGTAAATCCTTTAATCACTGTAAGAATTACCTTTCAAGAATATTTCTAGCTGGGTAGTCACCATGCTGTCCAGTCAATACTTGTATACCATTAATCCTGTATTTTCAATTGTGGTTTCTCTAAAGGGATTCACTGTATGTAATAAAATTATATATCTAATCAAATTATATATGTAATCAAATGATATATGTAATCAAATTATATATGTAATCAAATATTGATTAACTAGCTTGGAAACCCAGCTTTGTCTAGAAACTATATTTTTTCCATGAAAGTCAACCCACATTGAGAATTTTTTAACCATGCTACATTCCCGCGGTTCTATCTAGTTCTCCAATCAAAATTTGAAGCAAATATGTCGGGGGGTACATAAAATATTAATATAAGTTTTACATACATTAGCTTGGAAGTGAACCCAGTTTATTTTTAAACTATATTTTGATTATAAAATCAACCAAGACGTTACAAAGAAAATCTTTAACCATTCTAAAACTTAAACAGTCCTGTGTTTGAGGCAAATTTTTAGACTAGCTTCCAGCTTTATCTGGAAACCAGGAAATCGGTCAAGAGGTTTATGAATTAAATGACCGGACAGACAAACATATTTACTATATATGAATAGATATTGTCATAGGGGGCGGAAACAGCTTTTGAAAAGGGGAAGGGGTAAAATTCCCAATTAAGTTGTGTAGGGGGGGG